CTAACATTATAAGTACCATTATACAGCAAATAGTTACAGTTCTAAATTACTCATAAATTAATATAATTCCTATCATGTCAGGAAGTTCACGCAACATTCAAGGAAAATTGCTAGTTCCACCCACTTTAAATTTTGCTGCACCCTATAATATCAATAAACATAAAATATTAATCACACACCTCGGACTTTTCATAAAAGGTATCACCCGCATTTTAAATATACCTACCGTGGGCTCAAATAGCTCCAAAAGTCGACCTGAGGGACTCTACTTCTCGCCGGCGTCTCTCGGGGGGCCCATGCATATATGGAGGATTTCTGAATCCGTTTTATTTTCGGCCAACATGCCTCTGACATTAATAATTTACAAAGTATCCTTATGTTTAGAAATGCTGTTTCACGAGTCCTGCGAAACGTACCGCGGCTGCTTGACACGTTATTTGATTACACAATTTCGGTTATCCAGTTAATATGGTAATATGACGTCAAGACAGCCCCACAGTGATATATGTGGTTATAGTCGAATGAAATTTGTAATTGTAATTTGGTAATGGAAATACAGATAAAAAAAATGAGATATAGAAATATCTCTGGGTGCGTTTTGCTCGAAATATCCATATGCATGACCATTATGAGTGTTCATATTATTTTTTATGGTGCATTTTTTTTTCAAAAATATATTATACTATGATAAATATTTTCACAAATGGTTAAAATATATTTTTAGCTGTTTTGTTACTTATTTATCTAATATAATGCTGAAGTTAAATGTCTGTTCGCCAGATACAACTTCTATTGTTAAAATATCGATAAAATGCAATTGGCGCCAATTGGACTTTTATACACGGGTGCACACTTTGTGATGTCTCTACAAAAGTCAATAAATGCTACTACTACCATAGAAATATTTTGTGAATATTTGGAAATTTGAGAAATAATAGATAATAGTAAAATGTTTTTTTTTAATTATTTCTAGACATCCAAGTCTTTTTGTATTGCTTGGCACCAAAATTGGAACAAGTATATGTGTATATGAACCTAAATTTGACCTTGACCAAAAAACTGCTGCAAAATATTTTGAAATCATTGGCTATATCAAAATTTGAAACTTCTCATACCACAATTTAAAAAAAATGCAATTTCAATTCGTATTGGTTGGGTAAATTACTCAGACATACTGTAAAATATTTGCAAGATATCTTAAAAATAATGAGACACTTACTACTAGTTTTATTAGTAGTTTTTCTTGGATAGTGAATAGACATATTACAAAAATTACAATTTATATTATGCATTATACAGGGTGTTCTAAAACTCAACGTGAATCCGAAACGGGGAAAATGCATTGACCGTAATTGCCCAGAAAAAATGGTAAAAATTTCACCAAAGTTCTAGGTTGCACTTAAAAGCTCATAATAGTTTACAAACAACGCGAAATCATTTTTTTTCACCCACCATTTGCCTTGACGTTGAGTTCTGGGACATCCTGTGTAGTAAAATTATGAAATAAAATCTTTAATATAAAATTTGAATTCTTGGTATAAAAAGTACTCTTGCACCTGCTGATTGCTAATAAGAAGCAGCATATTCAGTAAAAAAAATTTAAGTATTCTAATGAATTTGTGAAAATTGTATGGGTCTATTACCTCGGTGGCATTTCCTGGATTACCAATCCATCACAATTTGGCTTATGTGTTAAATTAAGTCGAATCTGCCTTTTGCTACCTACATGAGTTTACATTTGTTTGCTTTCAAGAAAAGGGCTCGTGACGAATTTATATGGAACGAAGTAGAGAAGATTCACTTATTTATGTTGTGTCTTGTTGATTTTACTAATTGTGAGATTGCCTTAGCTCGCTACTAGGGATTTAAAGGATATCGGTATGTGTAATTCCTACAAAATTACATGACATTGACTTTGGATGTTATAAGATTATTATTAGCTAATATTAGTATACACGTGTAGAAAATTTACAGAATCGAGTCGGGAGGATGGTGTTGAACTAAATGTACAAATGAGTTTAATCGAGATAATTTAATATTAAGATTGCGTATGTGAAGTAGATTTATTATTATATTAAGTTTTATGATACTGTCGTCAGAAATAATTCATCAACGTTCTCTACAACAAATTATTACAGACATATGCTAATAAGTACTTGGTAACAGATGAATGAGCAACAATATAGCAATTCTCGAATGTGTTAGATGTATGCAAATAGGGTTCAAGTTTGTATTATGCGAAATGTATCTTCCAATTTGTATTAATTTAGAGTTTGTGGTTTTATGACTTCCAATTTTAGAAAATTATAAAAGATCAACTGAAAAATACTGTTGATCAAAATGTAGGCACTTGATAGTTCGTAATTCTTGATCAATGAAAATGTATTTTATTTGCTTATTTATTACTTAGTATATCTATTACATTTTATTGTATATTCTCTGGAATATTTTAAGGGCTCCTGGTTTGTACAATATGGTCAAATCTGCATATTCCAACATACGTTTAATATGCATTGTGCAAGCTGGGTGTTATTACGTCCATATGCATTCAAATAAGGCGGCTAGACTAACTTGTTAAGTATTAGATAAAATGAATATTATTCAGAAATTAGGTCTTTGACTTCTGCAGAACTAGATGATCATGCAGAAAATGTAGGCGGATGAAAATTTTTATTAGTTTGCATAGTAAAATTAAATATCAAGTTTAGGCAATGCAGTTCCATTACCATGAGTCCTTTATAATTGTAATGGTTCTTTATTTTGTTCAAATTGATTTTTTATCTATGTAGGCTGCTGAATTGTTTCGAATTTATATCGGTGTCATGACAAAATGATATTGCAAATTGTCCTGATTTCACATAAAGACATTTGGCAAATATACCGAATCAAGAATCGAATCCTTATTGAAACGGTTTATCCTCGACCCTCATTTGTTTTGGGTTAGATTGAGAATAGTCTAACAAGGCAAAAAATGGAAGATTTTTCTTGGAGACTTTAGAATTGATTACTAAAAATATATGCAGTAGATAAAAAATTAAATTAAATTAAAATTAATAATAATACTATAACATTAGACTTATAACTTAAACAGTTCTTACAAGATTTGTACAAGCCACCAATTTTTTTATTTTTTTATTTTTACATTTTTTTTAAATTGAGTAGAACATATTCATAACTCATTATTATGTCTGTGTAATGGCTACATCAATTTATAAATGTTAGTTTTACCAAAAAATCTATGACTTTCGCATTGCATATCTTTATCCCATGTTTTGCGACATAAACGATTTACGATGAATCCTATAATCTGAATTTGATGAAATTTTCTTTATGTGCTTACGGATTTTATTATTGAAGATTTTCTGTATCTCATTTTATTTAAGTACTTTAATTTGACTTATAGAAATACACAAATTGACACATTTTCTGTACACTGCCCACATGTTACGAGCCTACATATTTTATTTCTAATAACTAGGTTAGCAACTTAATTAAAATATGTAAAACTTGACTAGGGTACAATTTTACTACTGCCCACGTAGTAGGAGAATCTTTCATTCATATAAATATGTAAACAGAAACTATTATTGAATAAAATTTCAATCTTTTCACCAAACTATACCATTGATGATATATGTTCCAATTTTATGCCTGGGTAGAGCTATCTATATTTTCAAGTAAATCACTTCTGAAAAATTAGAGTAATTATTATAAGAGTGATCTATTAAAATTGTATCTCTATAATTTTCTCCAATTTGTGCCAACATATTCAAGATGTGTTTCCAAATATACAATTATTGTGCAAACATACGAATTAATCTATCGCCCCCCAAAAACATTTTGAGAACGTTATTTCGAGTGTTTGCAAAGGAACCACTTTTGGTTAGACTTGACAATCAATGAAATTGCTCTCTGAAATTACTATTATTGTATCTTGGTTACTGAACTTGGAGAACAAAATCAATTTAAATATGATTAGAAGGCATACATAAATAAAAAGTATTATTTATTCTAAATTTGTCTAGTCTAGGTGCTCTTATTTTCTTCCTAACAATTAGCATTTTAAGTGCATAGCAGTAGATGGTGGTATATTTTAGATTTGATAGGATGGGAAAAAACAACAGCTAGTTCTTAAGTAATTAGGGTTTAATTAATGTAATCTAAGTCTAGAGAACATGGTTTTCTAAGTAGTCTAATAATATTATTAGCAGATTCTTGGCGAGTTGATTTGATTGAATTTTCTAGTCTTTCCTTGCAAAATTTCTGATCTTCTTTCCAATGTATAAACATTTTTATTTCATCAAAATATGTCATCAATTTATAATTAAGACAATATTAATATTTAATTTACCTTTAACCTTTTTAATGCCCTTTTCCAAGCATCTAATATTTCCGTGAAATATTAAAAAATAAGTCCTTTCTGAAAAATAACATGTTTTTGACATTCCATTATTACTGTTACTGTAATCGTGCTAAAAAACACGATCGATTTAATACGGAAGCTTGAATTGAAGTTTTTATAGAATATATTTTTAAATGATCAGAACCGATAAATCTATTACTTGTACAAATGCTTAAGGATTGAATGTTTTTAGAACTTAAAAGCTCTTAAAGCTTTACTCTTAAAGCGCTTTTGCGTTTTAAATTATTTAATTGCATCCGATGCTAAGGCAAATATAAATAAATAAATGAATTTATATTATGAAGCAGGTATTTAATTATGAATTAGTCATTGATGTTTTGTCCAAATGATAGTAAATTATTTACAAAGTAAAATGTATAACTAAAGTGGTGTAAAAATACAGCAGTACAAAATATGAAATAAATTACAAAATTTTCAATATCTCTTGATCATTAAGATCATCCCATTTTTTTTTTTGATTTTTATATAGTTCAATTAAAAAAAATTCAAATTATTCTTGAAAATATTTACTTTAACGTGAAACAAACAAAACACGTCAACAATTTTTCACGAGTGTCAAAAATTATAAGTATATGATATGTCTGACAAAATTAGAGCTATAATGTCAAATTATTCATTATCTCTTATAAACGAAACCTTTGCAAAATATGGTGTTCGAATTCAAAAACACGAGAATTATGTCTCTTCCGTGGATGAAACTAATTGCGCCAATATCTTGTCAGTGGATCCTGAAGATAGATGTCAGTTTGTAAAATCCACTGCATCTTGCACAGATGCCATCCAAATAATCAACTACATGGAAGTATTTTTCTGTGATCTACAAGAGCATGAATCTTGGAAAATTTTTGGATTGTCTTTGTCCATGATTTTGTTCGGCGTCTACATTTTTGTCATCCTTGCCATCACTTCAGAGTACATTTTTTGTCCAGCGTTAGCTGTGATGGCCAAAATATTGCATTTATCAGAAAGTGTAGCAGGTGTCACGATTTTGGCTTTTGGGAACGCTGCTGCTGATATTTTAGGAACTCTTATGGATGTCGAAGAAGAAACTCCTATGATTTATACTGAAATGTTGGGGACAGGATTATTTATATGCTGTATGGTTTCTGGATGCATCTGCTTGATTAAACCATTTGTCGTGAAACCGCAGGATATTATAAGGGACGTTCTATTTTATATGTTTTCTGTAATATGGATTTTTGGTATCATAATAGACGAATGCGTGGAAATTTGGGAAGCTTTATCATTGCTTGGAATATATGTGATTTATATTATTGTTGTATTGATTATGCATACACATCATACGCGTAAAAAGGGATTTTTGGAAGCGGCGACTATTACTTTTACAATGCCTTTAAAAACTATGACCAAATCGATTTCAGTTGCTCCTTTGAAAGCGTTTCGTTTTCAACAAACAATCATGGCACGATTTGCAGATCAACCACAAACCCAAGAAAGTGCTTCAACCAGCGATATCAATATGTTCAAAGATTTTTTAAATTACATGAAACCTTTGAGCAAAGACGAATGGGTTGCTTTGAGCACACCTTATAAAATAATAGGAATTTTTAAAATACCTGTTATCTTATTTCTGCGTTTGGTTATGCCGGTGGTGGATTACGACTGTCCAAGAAATGGATGGTGTAAATTATTAAATTCAATCCAGTTTGTTATTACTCCAATATATGTCGTGGTAATTCTGAGATTTGCAGATAAAGATTTATTTCACATGGCTGGATTTTCTATGAAGTTATGGTACGTAATTTTTGTAATTGGATGTATACCTATGATCGCTATGTTGATTAAAACTCGAGTCAATACGCAACCAAAGTACCACGATTTGATGTCATTTGTATCATTCCTGAGTACCACATCAACCATACATTTTTTGTCAGAGGAAGTAGTGTCAATTGTAACGACATTGGGCAAAGTTTTAAGGTTGTCTAATGACATCCTTGGTTTAACAGCCTTGGCTTGGGGGAACGGAATTGGTGACTTGGTGTCCAACATTGCCATTGCTAGGCAAGGTTTGCAGAAAATGGCATTTGCTGCTTGTTATGGAGGACCTATGTTGACAACAGTGTTGGCGATGTCGATTGGTTTTATAATCAGGGCTTTGAATTCGCCTTATCACAAAGCTGCAGTTCGACCAGGAGCTCTTGGAAGAAATTGTGTGGTTTTTCTATGTTGCACACTTACGTCCACGGCGTTTATGATTTCTTTGACGAGATTCCATGCTAGAGCAAGTCATGGAATATTTCTTATGATATTGTATGCTACATTTTTGATGTTTTGTATTTTGGCGGAGATGTCTTTGATACATCCTTATGGGACTGATCATAACCCAGAACCGGAGGAGAGTATTCAGGACGTTTTACTGGATATCGCTTGAATAACTAGAAGATACTAATTGTTGGATTGCAAGAATCAAGATGATTAGTCCTTATAATCTGTACGATAGAAAGTTGGTAAACTAAAATCAATACATTAGTACTGCATTTGTATTCTTTTATTATGATTAATCTGGTTATTACTGTCGTCATTTTTTTATCTTTTTTCCTATTGCTGGTAGGTTGATGATAGATCCTTACAATTTTGATTCAATATGCATACTTTGGATTCCAAAGTGGATAGTGTTCATTAATCAACCTATTTGCCAAAGATTATACACATGAGTGACTATCTTAGCTCCGGAACGACGGTGTAATTCCGGGTAACGCCCGGAACCGCTTACAACACAAGTCACTAATTATTAACGATTCATTAAGCTATCGGTAATAATTAATTAAAAGTCAAATTATGATGTCACATTTAGCTCCTTAATTAATTTATACTTATACAAGTTGAATAAAAACTAAACCAAGTAGAAGACTGCGCAAAAAAATCAATTAGTTTGGATTATATTTTTTTTTTCAAAACTTTTCGCATAAAATATTTCCCATTATGCAGTGACTATTTTCTATACAATCTAGAGTCAAAATTTTAAACTAATATAAATCTCCCAAAATAAAACTAAAAACAAAGTATGTATTAATATTTTGGCAAATTACCAGAAAAGCTTTTAAAGCGAATGTCGGTCGTTTTGCACGCATGGAGTGATCTGTTTTTAGGGGATGTATTTCTACCCCCAGCTACCCCTTGCAGGCACGTTATAAAATTAACCAAATACAAGAATAAATGATAAATTAACTCGCGGTTTAATGAACATTTTCAGACTGATGCGAATGATCTAATGTTTGGTAATTAAACATCTTTGGGAAAGAGGAACCACATATAGAAACGAATTTAGAGAGGGTTTAAATATTGCTAATTATAAATGTATTTTTAAAATAAAATGATAATTAATTATAATGATCAATCGAATCATTATTTGGAAATTTTTTATTCAATTTATTCTGCAACCTGGTGGATCTAATAATGAGCAGAGATCGTTAATAATATAAAAAAGCATAACATGATAATTTGTTTATAATAGATGCTCCCAGGGGAGAAGTTATTAGGAGTATAAATTGGGACAAATATTGATCAATGATTAATAACAATTGTTTTAGATATTTTCAAAGAAATAATTATAAATACTATATATTTAATTGTTCATATAATATACAGTGACGATGTTATCGCTCAAAACACTTAAAAATGTTTACATTATAAAGAGATGACAAACGAATCCATCTGAGGATATATTTCTTATGATTACAAGAACGCATATGAAATATATACATTTTTAAACTGAATTGTAAATTTAAAATTTATATTTAAAGTATTTCTTTTTGAATTTTTTTTTTTTGAAAATTTTAAAATTTTGTTTAAAACCGTATGTGAACTTTAAAAATTAAAAATCTTGGTACCGAACCCAAAACAATTGTGATAAAATTAGTACTCATGTTTAAAATCTCTAAAATATATCTGACAATTTGATGTGCTAATGTCTAATGATCAGTTTAGACTACCAAATATCATTTTTTTTGCATTTTCCGCTGTATCTCCAAAACCACTGGAGCTTCCTTCCTAAAAATTTAATACATTCTTCAATTTCGATTTTTTTGCGATTATTATAACTCACCCTATGAGAAGTTAATTATAATGATTAATTGAATCATCATTTGGGCATTGTTTTTTATTCAATTTATTCATATAAAAAGAAATAATTAGATTATTAGATACTCCCAGAAGAGAATCTATGTGGGGGGGCGTCCATTAATCACGTGAGCGAATTTTTAAGGATTTTTGGACCCTTCTCCCCCTTGGTGATACATAGTGATATTCAAAATTAGCCCCCCTCCTCCACCAAGCATCACGTGTATTTTTGGTTACGTGATAAAACTGTAAAATTTTTAATTTTTTTTTGGAAATGTTTCATTTAAAAAAATATCATTTAACAAATAAATACACGTGATATCCCTCCCTCCCTCACGTGATATCTCGTGATTTTTTGTCAGACCACCCCCTCCCCCTAAAAACCTCACGTTTTTAATGGACGCCCCCTTGGAGTATTATCTAAAACAAAAACAGAGATATAATACAAAATTAAAAGTAAAGGAAAATAATATAAAAATTACTAAATGAGATCAGTAGATAATTTTGCCTTGGCTGGCTAAATGGATTCAACCTTTGATTAGGAATTGTGCTGATCAGTTTTTGGCAAAAATCGGATGGACTTCAGAGGACAAGCCTTAAATAGAATATAATTTAAACAAATCTATTTTAAGCCAAATTTAATTCTACCATATCCTCTATTTTCCCTGTTTAATTAATTTCGTTGTTAAATTTAAAACTTTTAATGTCACATATAACATCTCCCGGGGCGTACGCGGTAAACACGTGGAAACTGTGTCCGCCACCACATTATCATTTTATTTATGAAGCAAATTTTCTGGAAAAAAAGCAACAACTTTTAACAAGTTTATGTTTTATTTAGCCAAGCGAGTACACTAATTAATTACATGTGTGCGGATAACATATGAGACATGAACAACACAATTTAAAACTGTTTCATACATTAGTAAAGAAGATTCTGGGTGCAACTGATACTTTTAACCATATTGATGATGCCCTTTTCCTTGATCATAAAAATCATTTTATCGTACATTTATATATTATCTTTTAATACTGCACTAGTGTAATAAAATTCTACTCACACGCATTTGGTAATAAAATATGTGAATATATTGCATTTTGTGCAAGACATTAGGATTTATTATAATATATGACAAAAATGTAAAAATAATAATATAATACTTGGAATTAACCTTGCTCAAAAATATAAAATGATAAACTAACCTTGCTTAAAAATATGAAATGTGAATTTTTTGATGAACCAAGATATAAAATGATAAAATAAATAAAAAATATTTTACAATAGGTTGAAACATTAGGTCGTTTGAACGTCATATTTAAAAAATCATCATAATTTAGTTTAGGTCATAGTTTGTTTCATCATAGTTTATTTTAGTCATTTTTTCATCATAGCTTAGTATAGGTCCTATAAATTAATTTAATAAAATAAAATAGAAGATGAAACAATATGAGTACTAGCCAGTGATGAATTGTAGTAATAAGAAATTAGATATAATAAAATGTAATATTTGTTATGCCATTAGCAAGTTCTTAGCTTATCTAATATATCAGAGTTAATAAATTTAATATTAATTCTATTATTTTTATTGAAGGCTGTAAAGACCTGGGGGCCTTTTTGTTACTAGAAAATAAATTGATTGTTTTTTTCATAACCCACCTAAAAAGCTTCTTAAAGTAGTCTCTTATAATTATTGGCATAATTAAACTCATCGAATATTTCAAATAAATTATCAAATATATTTTCCTCCAAAATATCTGAAATTGTTCGACATACGAATATTTTTGAAGTCTATGTTATTCTAATCGATGGAGTCGTTCTTGAAATCGTTTATGTTTATCATCCATAGGGTTATGCAAATACGAACTCTGGATTTTCTCGATGTCTCAAGTTTTACAATGAGTCTTATGTATTGTATTGCGAAAATTATTCTCCACCATCGAAATGTTTATTTTCAAATATGCGAGGTATTATTTCTGCAGACGGAATGTGACTAAAGGGGGAAAACTGAGTCAATTCTTGATACTTCGATAAAATAACTAGAATACAAAACATTAACACTATTAACAATTCAATATTTACGATTACCCAACTTTATCATTTTATTTTCTGCTGTATTTTCTAAATGTAGTATCTTTAATATGTATCTTCTTCCTCCGGTGACCTAATTTTTGTAAGCTAAATAAAATCATCCATCGTGGTGGTAATAAAATAAAGGATTGCTGAACCCAGAGATCATCATGAAACTATTTTCTGGTCGTGAATTTAGAGCGCTGGAAAACTAAATAAAAACGTTGCTATGCTTCTGGAAAAAAAAGAAAATCGGAAATAGTATTGTTGGCGCTGTTCTTAATGCACATTCCGACGATTGATCGCATACTTTATGCAACACTAGGAATTGGATATAAAAATACTGCAAGTTCTGATGATGGAAATAGAATTTTGTATAGAGGAAAAACAAAATATTCGATAAGAAAAATGCTTTCAAATTATAAGTTTGATGTTTTAGAATCCTTAAATCCAAAGTCAGTTTAAGTTGTCTGCTACCAATTTACTAACCAACAATTTTGGAAGTTGACATCATCTTTGAAGATTCAAACTACAAAAACAATTGCTATTTTTTTCCTTAGTATCCAAATGTAGAATTTCTTTTACCATCATGTATATTTCTTCTTCTATTCCAGTTTTCTCCAAAATGCATAACCGTGCAACATTCGTAGTCTTCGCATTTGTGGCAGCCTCTACCCTGGTGACAGGAGAAGATTCAGCAAAACGTGCACCATCAGGATTTTTGGGCATGAGGGGCAAAAAAAATCTCTTGGCCCTTCACCCAGCTTTATTTGAAGACTCTGGTCTAAGGGATTCTATCAAAAGGGCTCCATCTGGATTTTTGGGCATGAGAGGGAAAAAGCTGATGTCGGACAACGAGTTGGATGATGTTGGAGATTGGGATAAAAGAGCGCCGATGGGATTTCAGGTAATAATTAGAACTATCAGCTATTGATGTTAATAAAGTATATTCTAATTTTAGTTTTCTATTTCTATTTCCAGGGAATGCGTGGTAAAAAGGACTATTTCGACGACGAGGAAGAAAGTGGATTATCCTTCAAAAGGGCCCCGATGGGTTTCCAAGGAATGCGTGGTAAAAAATATTATTCCTACGATACATCTGACGAATATCCTTTTGATGATGACTACGAAACAAGTCAATATAAAAGAGCGCCTCTAGGATTTCAAGGAATGCGTGGTAAAAAATTCATGGACAAGAGGGCACCTGCTGGATTTTTGGGAATGAGAGGTAATAGAATGAATCATATCTATTTATAGTAAATCCATCAATGTAATAATAGATAAAAGGATTGTATTTTGTTATGGAATTTAGATCTATAGTGTAGGTTTTATATTTATTGACCCAGTGCAAAGGAGTTGATGGTGAATTTTATATTTTATCTAGGATCGTTATTGCCCACTTGCTTTGTTCTCTAGCAAAAATATTTAATACATTTTTATTAGAACAAGCTATAAAAAACGTCCCACAACAAAATTCAAAATGTTTTGACCTTTTTTAAAAAAATGCGTGGACAGGTTCTGAAAATGATTTGATGATTTTTCCACAGATGATTTCTTTAGTGTTCAGTTAAACATTAATTAACTTCCCGTAGGGTAAGTGATAGTAATCGCAAAAAAATCGAAAATTAAAATGTTTATGTATCTTTACGTTTTAGAGGTTTCTGAACATTTTGGCATATCTTAGAAAAAATGGATGTGTGTGTGTGTGTGCGGATACAAATTTTCGTCGACGTTTTCGCGAACACGGTTCAATCAATTTTAATTATTCAAAAAACATTCGATTGCTGTTGATAGGGAGACGTGCTGATTAGTTTTTGGCATAAGCAGGTCTAGCCGTTTCGAAGATACGGGGCAAAAAGTGCCACAAACGGTAACTCAATTTTTAAGAGAACGGAGCGTCCGATTTGGATAATTCAAAAAACATTTTACTTGTATTGACAAGATAAAGAATTGATCAAATTTTTATGAAAGCAGGTCTATCAGTTTCGGAGATCTGGTGAAAAAAGTAAAAAAAATGCCAATTGGCGGTCAAAAATGATCATTAGACTTATGCATATCAAATTATCAGATATTTTATCGAGATTTTAACAATAAGTATAAATTCTGTTTACATTCCTATTCTTCTGGATATTGGGTTCTGTACCAATGTTTATCCGGTAGACGGCGACGCGGCGCTTACGCGCTTCGATATTTCGTCTTTATGCAGTTCAGAATTTCTAAAATATTTCAATATAAAAACATTTTTTTCAAAAAAAGTAAATTTTTGTCAAAAATTTATAGTTTCTCAAAAATCTAATTTTTTCGAAGTAAATTTTTTTAAAAATGTTAATCTTTTTTAAAAAAAATATTTTTGGTACGGGAAGTTGCAGCAATTTGCCTTAAGGCACGATGCCATGCGCCCCACTAGTTTCTATAATCATATGGATGAAGACTTAAGATCTAGTCTATTTATATATTTGAATGAGATTTTCATTTTGAGTGTTGTCATAATATTCTATTATTTCGTTTTGCGATGAAACCTAAATTTACGATGTGCCGATTTTGCCGTTATTACTTTGCTGAAGATTATGGCATGATTGACTTCGGTAGCAGTAAAACTTTATTGTCTCCATCATAATATAGACTCACTGATGTGTATTTATACACCACTGGTGAAAAAGTATTTAATGAAGTTATTTATATACTAGGATTAATATAGTACTCTGGTTTGAACTTATAAATCAATCATTTATCAATATATTGACTTCTTATCCTTAAGGTATAACTCTTCTTACACCTGGTTTTAAATTATTCTTCTTCTCTAGGTAAGAAAGAGCCCAGGAGTTACTGGTACTCGAGGCAGCTCCCTTACGATTTCCGCGGCAAATTCGTCGCCGTCCGCGGCAAAAAATTAAGTGAGGAAGTTTCTGCAGAAACCGAAGAAGATGCATCACGATCTCTGAGGAGTTTATTACAAGAATTGGAAAAACGCGGAAAACCTTCTGGATTTGTCGGAATGCGGGGCAAGAAATCGACTAATAATAATGGTAAGTGGTAATAAAGGATTTTTGGGAATAGGACAATATTTTTTTGTACTATGCAAAATTTGATTTTTAAATTTATTGATCATATGGGATATGCTTAATATACTTTGATGCCAAATGCAGAATGATTCAAAAATCTATAAATAACTTTTCCAATTTTATTTATATAGTTTTTTTTCTCTAAATTATTTAGATAAAAATATTATTTATTAAGGCTAATGCAGAATGCTTAAAAAAATCTACAAAGAACTTTATTTATCCAATTTTATTTTTATAGTTTATTATTTCAATAATTCCATAATTAACTTAATCTATAAAGAATTTTATTTATCCAATTTTATTTATATAGATTATTTTTCCAATAATTCCAATCACTTATTTTTTTAAATTTATATAGATAAAAAAAATATTTTTAAATTTGATGATTATACGGAATAGTCTATGATGTATCCTATATTTTCTTTTTTTCATAAATTATACAATTATTTATTTATTGATACAATTTCATTAAATTTATGTACCTTGATTCTCAAATTTGATTATTATACAGGATAGTCTATGATGTATCCTATGTTTTCATTTTTTTATAAATTATGCAATTAATTACTGATTGATAAAATATTTCAATAAATTTTTAACCTTAATTTTAATAAATTATAAAAGAATAATACATTATTAAAATAAGATATGATAGAGTGGACCTTGTTTTCATTGACTTTTGAATGATTCAAGGTTATTTTATAAATTTTCCTATAAGTTTATATAACTAAAAAGATTTTTTTTAAACAATCTGATATCTGATTTTCCTGGTAATTGAATTTAGCATATTGTTCTAAATTTTACAATGTGAATCGCATTTTTTATGTTCCTTCCAAAATCCCATAAAAAGATTTAATATACTTTGCCTAATGTTCTCTTCCTGTATATATCTATATACAGGCTTATATATACATATATATAAATACATACATATATATATACACACATATATATATATATATATATATATATATTATGTAATTAATTTCCATGCTAATTTAATGATACCTATTTTTCATTTTTAATGACAATAAAATTTTCTTTATGAGCATTTTGCAACAAGTCATGGGCTCATTATAATATTTTATTATAATGAAATAATAATCAATCAATAATTTGAATATATTCTTGATTTATTTACCTATTTTATAAAATAATAATATTGCAAACACACTAATTAATATAAATGATTTGATAAAAGATCACATTATTTTAGAATGATATAAAACAACAAGTATTTCATAATTTTTTTAATTGCCATTAAATTTATTCGATCTCAAATGTGCTGATGGATGAGTTTATGATTTCACAAAATTGAAAAAAGTATGGGTTATATTTATAAGTAAGCCAAAAATTGACTCTTTAAAAAAACGTATTCAAATAACACTTTGTACAAGATACTTTTAAATTCATGAAGCTGTTTTTCTCCAATGGATTTCTTAGATTTTCAATTTCCTATCGCCGAATGAAAAATGCAATAATATCATATCTTTAGAAATGGATAGTAGCCAAATGCAGAATGCATTATTAAATTAATCTATACAGAAAAGCTGTGTTGATTTTTTATTAGAATGAATATATATGATTTTTTATTAGAATGAATATTATATTTATATATAACATTGAGAAAATGTATATATTTTATATTATTTTATTTATTTTTTTAGTTGGAGAAGTCGTGCCTGCAGACAACTCATCCACCAGGCAGTGATTTTATTTTCCAAGAGCGCACTACTAAGACGATATAAATATATATATAATTCATATTTATATATTTTAACTATACCTACAAGTAAGACTAATAATTATTAAACCAGTATTTAACTTTACAATAATTAAAAAATGAGTCTTAAATTTAAAATTATAATCCGCCGAATTATTCCACAACCGATGTGTCCTACGTGACGAGTAAACTATTTCAAGTCTAAAATGCTATACATATCTTTAAATCTTGAACCAAATTTAATTTCAATGATAAACAAACAAATGTAAGAATAAAATTATTCATTCTATCAATATTTAAAGTTATTATTGATGTTTTTCATTCGGAATTGTGTGGTAAAGTTATCGCTCAACGTTATTTAAATGAATCCAGTTAATGGAAACTTCCAAAGTTTAATAAATAATCATGTTTTTGGTTCCTCAATGTAGCAAAATAATTCTCAAGGTAAAGGAAATAAAATTAGGATTATGGCCAAAATTGAATTTCAATTAAAAAATTTAATTAATTATTTTTTTTGCAATTTTTGATAGCAATATCTTGTTTCTGATAGCAGGAAAGCCCATGCTACTAACTTAGTCATTTATAATAAAATTATTTAATAATGTATTATAACTATTTTATATTATAATAATTTTATAAATATATTATTTATATTAGCCTAATGTACTTTATTTAGTACTAATGATTTTTTAATTGTTCAGTAATTGATTTTGCATACTTCAATGGAAATCAAATAGTTTTAATTAAAATAAATATAAACCCTAAATTGTGGACAATTTTGACAAAATACTACTTTTTTTGTAATCTCCAATTATTTTATAAAAATAATAATAAATATAAAAGTACATAATGGGCTTTGCTGCTATTATTACCAAATTATTTAAGTAAAACTTTGATATAACATTGTTTATTAATTAAAACATTTAATTTATTTATTTATGACTCTTTAAACATATTTCTTATAATTTTATATGCATGTTAATGAAACTTATGAATTTATAAATTGAATATTTAAATTTAAAAGAACTTATATATTTATTTTCTTACTTGATAAAAATATTTATAGGATAAATGTCAATTATTGACTTATTTTTAATAGCTACAATTTATGTTGAATATTTTAAATTTATATATATTCAGCCCAAGCTGAATATTAATTTAAATTAATATTAAATTTTCTGTAAGTGAAATAAGACTGCTGATTTTCAAATATGGAATTGTTTAGAGAAAAATACAGAAATTAGTGTTAAATGAAATTTAAATTAAATATTCAATTTATTCCAAATATGAGCATTTAATAAATTCCTTCCTATTTTATATAAAATACGAATCTGCTGCTGCATTTTCACATTATTAAATAAATGTGTTCATTCTAAAGCAGATGTGAGCATAAAATATATTTTTATGTATGTATAAAATATATCTTGGCATATAGAATATTCTAATTTATTATATGATGTAATGTTAAATTTATTAAATATTTATTGTTTATAAAATAGATTGTTTGACATTGGTTTGTATACTATTAAATATTTATTGAAAATATTTGTGTAAAAATCATAGACATGCAATAAATGTAATATGCTATGTATGAAGACTAGTTTTTAACTAAAATTAGAAAAAAATGTTTGAAATTCAACAAAAATATGGAATTTACCATCACTATACATGGGAGATAAATAAATGCTTCATTGACAATATCACAGGCGGTCAACATTCGGTCTTGTTTTATAACTTTAGCATTATATTACCTGAGATTATATCTGTATGATGTCTTTATTGCATAATCTTAATATAATATAATATCTTATATCTTGTCTGGGATCATAAAACAGCATGGTTCTTATTAAGAGACTGCGTTCAAAATATATGAGAATATTGATTTTTATAATTAAGTCTGGGCACAAAAATTGAATGGAAATATTCATATGATAGGATATATAAATAAATGTGTTTATTATTTCTAAACATTTCTACTTATAGGACTCTTATAATAATTTTCATCTTGAAATAAATAAAATGAATATACCAAATTAAACAAATAAAAAAGGAAAAATGTTTTATACTATCTTTATTTTAAACAAAAAACTTTAAGTAAAATAAAGAGAGTATTAAAAATATTTTCCTATTTATTTGATACTGCTCTGAAGAGTTTAGTCAATATATTTCAAGACCAAAGTTATTAAAACAATCACACACCCACATATATACATCTATTCAAATAAATAAATTATATATATATATATATATATATGATTTAGTAGTTAATTTTGATGTTGAAATATATGAGTGAGTTCTTGAGGGCAAATTACATAATTCTACTTACATTTTTGTTCAATAAAACTATCATTTTTCTGTTTACATCATACAAAAAAATTATATAAAAAAATGCATAGTGCTGACAAGTTAGTTGTATAAATGTTAGTGCCAAATCTCTAGTGCTGTGTACACTTCTCTATATGTAACTAACCAACGTAATGTAAGTCCACTTGTATTTTATATGTATTATCCATCTTCATAAATAATTTGTTTGCTTTACATATATACGAGTTTACATATATTGTATGTTTATATATATATATATATATGTATTTGTATGTATGTATGTATATATATGTATATTGCTTATTTACATGTATGTTTGTATGTATGTGCATATTTATATGTGTATACATGTAATTATATATACGTATATATGCATGTATGTATGTGTATATATATATATATATGTATATATATATGTATGTGTATATGTATATATATATCTGTATATATATATCTATATGTATATCTATGTATCTATCTCTATATATATCTATTTGTGAGCATTTATGTACATATGTATATATATATGTATCGTGTGTATATATATATATATGTATGTATATATATGTATATATATATGTGTGTATATATGTGTATATACATGTTTATGCGTATATGTATGTGTATACGTGTATAGCTATAGTTACATAGATAGGTATGAGTATATGTATGGTTCATACATGTACATGTACGTCGTTGTGAATATGCATGCACGTTGCATATATGTATATACGTATATTTATATGTGTATAGTCTTACATGTATATGTGTACATATATAGGTATATATTGTTGTATCTGTATATGTATATGTGTATTATATGTTTGTATGTGTGTGTATATGGATATATGCATGTATATATATATATTGTATATATATATGTATATGTTGTATATGTGTACGTACATATATGTATATATGCGTAAGTTTATATGAGTGTACTTAAATATTTTTGCCTATACTTTTTAATTATTTATTTAATTCTAGTCTCTACTACCTTTCCTATCTTTTATATTTGATTTGTTGTTAAGTGTTGCTATTTGTTAATTTTTCTCTTATTGTATAGTTACTTTACCAATCCACATATATTATAATTACCTAGATATGCTAATTTTCATACTGTTTTTAGATCCACTGATGATGACATTAAATTGAATGTCGAAACGTTTGGAAATAAAGATTATTTTATAAATCTTTGGCTTTTCTTTGTTTGATGTATCGCCCTCAAGAACTCACTCATATATATATATATATAAGTACATATTTTATCTGTACATTTGTTATTGAATATCACAGTTTATATTCGTAGTTAGTTTAAAATTGTTATCTGACCCTTTGTATGATTATTGGTGCAATCAATGAGTTTTAAATTTATTATCAAAGTTATATAACAATATTAAGCATTTCTTGTTTAAAATATAGAATGCAGATGTCTCATACTGATTTACCTTTATTTCATGAAGATAATTAAAATTTAATTCAGTTTTCTGATACCTGCCATTTAAGTCTTATCTACTCTACTGTACAGGTGTTTGTGTTTAATAAAATTTGGTCTCAGTATTATGTAAGAATCTGTCTTGCTATACAAAATTGTTGAATCCCATTAATTAAAAATGTGTAGTCATTTATTATATATAAAATTGCGTAAAATAATAGTTTAATAACAAAGGTGTTCAGTGTTGAATATACTTTAGATTCTATTAAAATTATAAAAGTGTTTCAAGTATGTGTCTTTTTAATAAGCACGTGGTGTGTTAATTTGTGTAAAAATGCTGTGCAGAACATGGTAAGTTGTTGCTTTTATAAATTATATTACTATTAATGATCGGCATTAATATATTAAACACAATCAATATTCATAAAATCATAAAACGGATTGCATGAGGCTTTTCAACTATATCATTGCCAAGGCAATAAATATATAATTAGTTTATTAACCAAGCCTTGGCAATAAATATATAATTAGTTTATTAAGCATTATGGAAACAATATTGAAATATTAATCAAACTTTAATAAATACCTTATAGGTTAATATATTAAATAAATTTACATCCATTATGCATTGACAGAGGAGTTAATATAATTTGTTGGGGCATGTGTGATGGCTGCCATTAATAAAATAAAGATTATATATATATATATATATATATATATATATATGCATTTATACACTAAGTTTAATATTTAATAATAATAGAAGTTAATTTGTTCAATAAATTCATTATAATTAATTAGGGTTTGTATAATATTTATATATTCCTAGCTTTTGTGCTTTAAATGTATAATATATATTATCAATATATATTATCAATATATATATATATATATATATATATATATATAATATTGATTTATAGAACATTACATTTAAAAATACACATTTCACATTAGAATATTTCTCCAAATTTGAAAAAACATTCAAATATTCCGCCGTATTCCAATAAGTTTAGTACATGCAGCGCCTCTATGCAAAATCGTTCTCAAATTGTGAGGAACTAACGTCAAACGTTTGACAGTTCTTGCGTGAATAGGAATCCAATAAGATTTCTGAGCTCCTACGGTGACTGCTTGCAGCGCCTCTATGCAAAATTGTTCCCAGTTTGTGAGGAACTAACGTCAAGTTGAATTCATATTAAAGCGTATAAAGGAATCCAATAAGATTACTAGATTCATAGAGGCGATTGCTTGCAATGATAGGAAGAGCCGACATCGAAAGATCGAAAATCTTCATAGTAAACTTCGTTTGTATAGCGATATATAAATGTATATATTGATATTCCTTCAAAACCAGGACCATAATTATATATAATGGCGTATAAAGCGATATATACAT